TGTGTGTGTGTGTGTGTGTGTGTGTCGTAGCCCTCAACTGGTAGCATTGTAACACGTTAATCCCTGATAGATTAGCTTCTGTTTCACTCCTGTTAACACACAGTCTTTCTCAATACATTTCCTTCCTCCTTTCCATAATCACTTTAATTTGTTTCCTTCCTTCATTGATTCTTTTGTGATGCTTTGGTTTTGCTTTGCATTCTCTTCTGTGTTCCTTGTACTGTGCTGCTTTCTTCCTGCCTTCATTTTCAGCACATCATCTAAGATGTCATGAATGGATTATCATAAATACACTAATCATTGCACTGATCATTGTATTGAATTGAATCCAGTAATCCAGTATTGTCAAATCTGTAGTTGGAGTTTATAATGCAACATACAGTATACAAAACAGCCTACTAGTCTAACCATTACATTCACAAAGAAATACTATAGGCCTGACCTCATTATTCAGGTCCTTAGACTGAAGGTTAATCAGCGATACTAAAACACATCTTCAGTTAAATTGTTACATCACTTTTCTAAAACATTATGGTCTCTATTTCTCCATGTACATGTCTGTACTGCTATTTCAGCATATACCATGCAGACAGACCAAATAAAGACCCACACGAATGGGCAAGGATCCAGTTAGACAGATAAAGCAGGCAGACAGTATGGCCAAAATGGCACCGATGCACAGACAGACAGAGAGACAGACAGGAGATCACAAGGACAGAGAGTCAGTCCAGAATGACCGAACAGAGCGCTGGTTGTTTTGATATTTTTGGGAAATGTGGTCAGCGGCATTCCAATCCTCCTTCCGCTCTTCATCAATACTGAAATAGTGCTGACTAACACAGAAACACACACACTCTCTCTCTCTCTTTGTCTCTCTTTTGTACAACATACACCACAATTTCTAAATAGATTGACATTTAATATAAAGCAATAATTTATTAGGTTAGTGTGAAAGAATCATGTGGTTTAAAGAACTGAAGAAGTAACCAAATTACTGCAGTTTAAAAATGAAATAGAAAGACTTCAAACAGAGCAGATTAGGGGTGTGTGTGTGTGTGTGTGTGTGTGTCACACAAGAGACTGTTCAGTTCTTCAGAAAATCACACCAAATGTAGATCACATTTTGACAACTGAAGCTTATTATCATTCTTATATTGCAGTTACCAAGGTGAACGTTATGACAGCTGTATAAATCCTTTTGTTTTATCTCAGATAAAGTGCTAACCTTGAGTAGTTAGCAGGGTGTCATTTTTTAAATGAGCATTTGTTCTTTTCTAAAACGAAGTACTCAGCCCTGGTATCAAAGGAAGAGAGTCTAATCAGTGCACGGCTAACACGGGCATGTGACCCTGCAGCTGTGGGTGTGGCACTTTTCCCACAGCTGACTTGGTGATTATTGGAAAATAGAGGGCTTTGACTTGAAGCTCTCAAATACCAAAAATGGCTCAAGAACCAAATATTTAAAATATATTTAAAATACTTTTGGGCCAGTCACACATTTGTTTTGAAATTTAGATATGGTCCATCGCTAATACAGAGCCCACAATAAAACAAAGGCTTTTCGAGGTATTTGTCAACCAGAAAACTTTTCTGGTTGACAAGCTTTGTTGTGATTTTGTAAAAATCTGTTTATTGTAATCCAGCTCTTTAAATATAAAGAACCACATTTGAATCGATGGCAGCAATACTTTCCATTTTTTCCATTTGGCAGCACAGTGCAGCACAAATGGCTGTGTCCATGGGTGGGAAGCCTGTGGGGGATCATGCAGTAAAAACCTCTGCATGTTTTATGCCCTTCAGGTGAGGCTCCTTGCTGTGAAGTGAAAAGAAGCTGTTGGCGAATCCATTCGTATCTGAGGCGACGAATGATGCCGGTCTGCAGCTCTCCCAGTCCATCAGACAACAAGCAGCGACAACAACAGCATTACTGGGGGAATTTGGCAACCCAAATTATGAGGAAAAAAACCTGTGTGAAGTTACATCTCCAGCTTCTGTCTGGCCACAGCTGTAATAAGGGCGGCACCCTTCCCGCCGCCGCCTCCTTCTGATGGCAGGAAGGTCACGTTACACTGAGGAGCCAAAATTCTGGCAGTCTCTTGGAGGATGTTGGAGAAACTAGAAACAGCAACAGAAGATAAAAAAAGATATTTATGTTTTATAAAGATTTTTAAGAAGCAAAATAAAAGAGGAAACAATTAAAAAACAAACAAAAAAACAACATTATATTGTTTTGCTCCTGTAGCACACCACGACTATAACAAATACAAATAACTCACTGTGGATGTAATTTGTAGAGTGTCCCGTCCACCCCTACAGTGATGTTCAGATGGTCCAGTCCTCGGTTCTCTCTGATCTTATCGACCACAGCCGCCATTCCTGCCCCACACAACTGAGCTGCACGACATGACACTGCCCCACATACCTGTATAACAATGAAAACCATTATCGTTACTGCAACACTTAAGACTGTTGGTGCCACAGTTTGCTGAGCCAGACAATATCATATCGCTCCTGAACCATTAAAAATAAATCTTACTCAATCCTAAAATGACGTTGCAACAGAAAACATGGTTTCTAAAAAAAAAAAGTGTCTAAAAATGTAAACTCTTAACCTCTCTCTGGCATTTGAGACATACAAGAATTAGGCCAAAGAGTTGCAAAATATGATATTATATTTATAATTTTCTTACTTCTAACCATTGTTTACAAGGTTAGTTTAACATAAGGTTAATGATGGCTGCATTGCATTTAGGTTAGTAGTTCCAGGGTCCTTGGCTTAACAAGGAATCTTAAATGGAAGAGAGTGATGATCAGTGTTAATCAATTACACCTGTGTTCCTCCTGCCATGACTGAAGTATGTGAAGTAGACTACACTTGTCCAGTAGATACTTCATGGTAGGGAGGGAGTAAATAGATTTAGAGAGGTAGTCTGGCTGTGGGTGGCTACTAGAGAAGTGAAATATTATTATTAATACAAAAATATAAAAGACATTTCCTTAAAATATCTATATATTTTATGCTGCAGTCATCAGTTACAGTATAACAAAGGTTATGTCCTTAATATTGCAGTTCACTTTAAAAACATGCAGGTTTAAAAGTTGGTTTAAAGTCTGAAACTACACTGAAACAGCTGTTCATCAACACACATGACATAGCATTGCTCATTAGTTTTTTGTCTTCTACCTCTTTGACAATAATGCTGTCATCACAGGTGCTGTCGAGCCCCAGCTGTTGGAGAATACATCTGACCTGCAGCAGAGCCAGGCGGTCACTAGGGGGAAACAACACTGTTACACAAGTTACAGTAAAATACAGTATGTATATGAATACACACATTTTCTCCTACCTCTCTATGTGTGACAGGTATTTGGTTTGGAATATTCCAGGTGTTTTTAAAGCTTCAGTGACGTGTCCTCTAAAGAGCAAACTTCCTCTGGTTAAATCCAATAATACCTGACGAACAACTTCTCCTAAATACATCCCACTCGTCAGCTTTTCAAACCTGCATAATCACAAATACACATATCGTTAGATCCATATAGACCATGTGACCACCTCATCGAGTTTCCAAACGGTTTAATTGTAAACACACAGAATCACTGAAGCATGAGACACAAAAGTAAAAACATGGGTACACAACCACATGATTAACAGAAACTTTGAAAAAATAAACATGTACAAGTATGAGAATGTCCTCGTATATATGCAAAGACATAAATAAGTGACTGTCCTGAAATCCTAAGACACACACACATGCTGATTAAACATACATGTATATTGATGTATATTGAGACATTGATATGTATATCAATACGTGTATATTTGATGACCAAGCATGGAGCATCACGAGATCAACACACACATATACACACGCGCGGTGAGGGTTTCTAACCTTTGTTTTCCAGGGTTCAGTGAGTTTTGGTCGACCTCAATGTCGTAAGGTGTGATGATGTCATCCAGAGAGCCATCGTCACCCAGACCCCCCCACTCTGTGTTTATACACATCTGTGGTATCTCAGCATGCCCCTCCTTTCTCTCTCTTTCTCTCCCATCATCCTGCTGAGAGCCGAAACAAACGAGGGGTTTAAATATGTGGGTCATCATCCAAAGATCCATTTCACATCACCCCAGCTCACTGACAAACTGAACACTGTGAGTGTTTTATGAGACATCTTCTACCTTATCCTCCTCTCCTTCAGCTGTCCCCTCTGCTCTTTCCTTATTTCCTGTCTTTTGTTCAATCTTCTCAATGTTCTTCAGCTCCTCCATGTAACAAACATTAGTGCCAGTTCCTGTGAAACAGAGTCACATAGTCTGTGTTATATAAAACATTACGATTACAATATTCAGAAAATGTTTTTTCATCTCAGTAGCTTGTGTTTGTGAACAAAATCAAGTGTGCTTAGTGACACACACTAACGTGCATTTTTATGACAGTACTGTGTCTTTCTGTCTTAACCATCATAACTACAGGACTGACCACAACCATGAACATAATTAGAGAGTTATCTGGAATACAAACACCGTCTGAAAACGCACACCAAGTAACTGACAACTAGCCAAAATATCATCACTTTGTAAAGGCTGTAAACACGAAGGTTACATACCAGCAATCAGTCCAATCTCACACTGAGGGTCTTCATAGGCACAGCTCATCATGGTCGCCACTGTGTCATTGACTACTGCTGCTATGTCCAAGTCAAACTCCTATAGGTACAAACATGCACATGTGTACACAGACACACACATGCAGTATGCAGGGACAGGCATTTAGTACATGAATCAGCATCCATTAAATGTACTGTAAGACTGGGTTGGGACCCACAGGTGGGTCGCAGGAGGTTTTATTTGGGTCGCCAAATAAATAAGCAAAATTTCTTCCATGGCCTTTTCTTTAACATTTATCTCTGCAGTACACCTTTGAGCCAGATGAAGGAGCCTGCATGTTTGTATTGTTCTGATAACTGTAGCCTACTTATAACATGAATCTAATATGAAATGTTTGTTTTATTGATGAGAGAGAAAAATTGTGATAAGGCCTGTTAAATTGGGTTGCGATACTGTGTCGTTTTTTATAAAGTGGGTCCCCAGAAAAAAAGGTTTGCGAAACACTGCCCTACAGTATATGAATATACAGTATATACAGTATATATATGAATTTCTCATCATAATTTCCATTAATTTCAGGCTGAATTTCCGTGCATCTTACATAAACAAACATGCACAAATAGGAAAGATTGCAGAATTATTCTTTCACCTCATGTGACAAAACCCAGATTAATTATGAATTATTTGGTTGCGACCTGGCTCCGGATAAGCTGAAGCTAATGGCTGGATGGATGGTTGTATTTCTACTCACGTTGCGTCTCTTGATGGCTTCCCTCAGCATGCTGACAACATCATGTCCTTCACAGTCTGTGGCTTTAAAACATTTGGTCCAGCTCAACAAGGTGCCCTAAGGAACATACAAAGGTTGAAAAAGGTTACAAAATGGATGTTTCTCCTTTTAGTGTTTGTTTACTTGTGAAAAGCTATTAAATTACACTCTGATGTCCACACTGACCGTGTCAATAGATGTCTTCTCGCAGGGGAAAGAGAAGGTGAATCCTGCAGGAAGACGAGCATTCTTCATCCCCATGTAGTCCAGGAAGTCACTCACACACTCCGCTATATGATCAAACAACTAGAGACAGACAGAGAGACAGAGAAAAACTTTTGTGGAAGTGGTAGGTCGAATTCATTCATTTGAAATGTGTTTATTTGCACAGTAATTCAATCATTTTCTCATCATCGGTGTTACACTAAACTGAGCTCCAGTTTCATGTTATCTATCTACCTACCACTGCCAGTCCTTCTGTCTTCTGTCTGATTATTTAGTACTAACACAACAACAAAATGTCCTACCTCCTCTCCACTTCCCTGCATTATCTCCAGTGGTATGGTGTAGATCTTGTGGTAAAGTTGTGGGTTCTGTTGCAGACCTTGTTTAAAATTCACCAGCAACACTCTGAAGTTTGTTCCTCCCAGATCCAAGGCAAGGTACTGTCCATACTCTGAAGAACACAAAAAAATAGCTTACTGATTATCTGGTTTTACATAATTCAGATCAATTTTTTCATGTGCAATTAAAGTCAAAAACTTTGAAAGAACTTTTGATTGTTCATTGTGTGTTTAATTTTGGGTTGTGACCTGTGCCATCAGGTGTTCGGTAAACAAAAGAAGGCAGCATCTTGATAGCAGAGGGGCCTTTGCCCTTCAGCCCTGCTTCAAGCCCCGTCCTCATCCTGGTCTTCACCAACTGGAGCTGCTCTTGGCTCAGTCTGAAGGGTGACAGCGTCTCATCCACCTGCGATACATGGAAGAGAGACTTTATATTACCAGATATGCATTAATTAATGAGGATTAAATGTGTACACTTGCAAAGACACAAAATACATACAACACACACAGCATCCTAACCTGTCGCCTTCGTAATGCCAATCGTTGGGCGACTGCTGAAACCAAAGCAGCTCCTTTGCTGCTGCCGCTGTCTGAGAGGACAAACCTGACATGGCACTCAGGGAGCAGCCGCCGCACTACTTTTTGGAGACGTTTAGGATACCTGAAATGGAAGAGGTCGAATGTTTAATCGCCCTTGGTAATCTGTAGCAGCTGCAACGACATCACTGCTATTGTAAATTTACAATGTAGAAGTCTGCCACAGTGTGGCAAGTTGATTTAACAAATGAGAATCCATAATTATTATCTCCACCATGAGGATCATGCAATCGATCGCAGGCATGCATGCGTGTGTGCGTGAGTGTGCACCTCTGCGTCTGTTCACGGCTAACCTCGCATTCTGCTGCAGCAAACTGAAAAATGTTTTGGCTGCTCAGTTATGGCTAAATGCTCAAGGACCTCTCCTGGTTGTGGTGACTGACTTTTTCAAAACACTGGTGAGCTAGTGATTACTCAGCTGAGTGCATCTCCAACCCTCCATCCGCTACTCTGCAGATAACAGAACTACCAGTACACACATTGATGTACTTCTACGCAACTCAGCCGCTGCTAAGTGAGCTGACAGCTTGGTGAGTGTAATTGTGTTTTTGGCAGGATTATATGACATGCCTTATAGGACGACTTCATACATTGTTTGTTTTTGAGTTTGAATGAAGTGTGTTTTACGATGCCTTACAGCCCATTGGTGTCTAGACTGAGGGTTAGTCAATTGTTGGTTGCATTCTTTCAATTGTTGGTTGCATTCTTTCAATCTTACAATACACCAGTGGTCGTTGCAGACACACTGTGCAGAGATCTGCACTCTACTAAGTACACTTTTCTAGTTATATTGTAATTTAGATAGCTACAAATGTATTTTTACAGGTCATAACAATGTGACCGATTATATTTAAAGTTATGTGCTGTTAGAATCTGACTAGTAAGGAAGATAATTCAAGATACTGTATGTCCATGATGTGCACACAGATAATTATAAATTTGGCGAATATTTCAAAAATAACCTACTGTGGATGCATCTTGTACACAGTTCCATCCACACCTACAGTGATCCTTAATGTCCTCAAATTCCGGTTTTGCTTAATTCGAGTCAAGATGGCAGCCAGTCCTGCAGCCACCAGATTTGAGGACCTGAAGGACACTATAGTGCTGACATGTTGAACAGCAACACAGTCATCAGATGTTGGGGTCAGATCAAGACCAATGAGAAGGTTTCTGGTGTTGTTCAGACCATTTTTGTACCTGAAATAGACAGACGTGAATGGAATCATTTTGTTTTACACAGAGCGAGTGTGACACAGACAGGCAGACAGACAGAAAGACAACTTACTCCTCCATGGCTGCTACATGTTCGGTGGTTATTGTCCCTTTAGTCCTCAGGGCATCAGACACATGTCCCTCAAACAGCAGTCCGAGTTTAGCCATCTTTAATACCACCAGCCTCACTAACTCACCCAGATACATCCCACTGACCATCTTCTCTAGGCTACGAGTAGGAGAAAAGGAACAGAGGGGTTTAAGGGAGATATGGTGTCAATCATGCTGTGCCTTATAACATGTCATATCATGGGAAAAGGCAAAACTGGTCTCCTCACATTTGTTTTCCAGGGTTGTTGGAGGCCGCGTCCACATCCCTGTCAAACTCAGTGATGTAATCCTTCAGAGCCCCGTCGTCTCCGAAGGCTCCCCACTCGGTGTTCACACACATCCGGCCCTCGTCTCCCTCCACCAGGTCAACGTTACGCAGCTCCTCCATGTAGCACGCATTAGTGCCAGTACCTAAACACACAAACAGGATATCCATGTTCATACTATTCAAAGAAACCTGCGCTGGTTACTTTCATTTTCTTTATCTTTAACTAATCACAAAATGTAAAACCTAATCTAACCTTAAAATGAATTCCTAATCCTAATCCAACTATAATCTACAGTACAAAACAATCACGCCCTCTCACATGCAGGAATACAGTGAAACACTAGAGGGAGCAGCAGTTTAACTACAGGTGAGACAACTTTTTGAGACACATTTGTTATTTCATCATAGCAGGCCCAAATATGTTAACGGAAAACTAAAGATGCATTCTGACTCTTATGGTCTTCAGGAATATCTCAGCTAAATTCTATTGTAAATTTGAGACCAGTATTTGCTCGGGCTGCATTCTTTTGTCCAGTGTTATTTTGTCCATTCCCGTGTACAGTACATACACGGAGAAGATAAAACTGACACAAAGATAAGGATGAAACATTAAAATGGCTGTTTATCTGGCACACACACATACACACACACAGACATAAACACATTTCAAAACAAAGTGGCTTTTTTGGCAATTAATTACACTCAAAATACAAGTATAGGGAGTTGGAGATAGAGTCTGGAACCAATAGATACAATAGACTTTATTATTGACTGCAACAGAGTTGGTGGTAATTGTCTGTTACATTATTATTATTATAGTTAACACCCCTGAGTGAATTGTATGAGTCTGATGATATCTACACTAAAGATGAATGTACTCACCAATGATGAGTCCGACTTCACAGTACTGGTCATCAAAACCGCAGGTCATCATAGTTGCTACGGTGTCATTAACCATGGCTAATACCTCTACATCCATACCCTGCAGTGTGAGGGATTATAAGGTAACATCAACTACAGTACAGTTTATGTACCGAATCAAGTGTTTCCGAAGAAGTGCAGTCGTATCTAAGTGATGAAATTGGGTAAGATATTCAGAAGAATGAGCTTCTCATCAGAAGTCATGATTCAGTACCTTTACTGGCCTGTCTAATAAATGAAAAGTTGTTTGTGGGTATACTTGAATACAGGCATCCTACCCCAGTTTTGTTGATAGCCCCTCTGAGGGCCTGGACCACATCTTTACCCTGAAGGCCTCGAGCCCGAAAGTTCTTACTCCAGTTTAACAATACTCCCTACAGAGGAAGACATTGTAAAAAGTAACATAAATTGCAGGTGCAGGTCATGAAAACCAGATGGATGTAGAGTGCCATTACCTGATTTAAGGTGGCTTGTTCACAGGGGAAAGAGAAAGTGAAGGCTAGAGGATGTTTCTTCTCCAAACTGATGTTCTTCTCATGCATGAAGTCCTTCAGAGACTCTGACACATGGTCAAATAGCTACAGACAGAGAGCCAGACCGAGAGGGAGAGAAGACAAGAAGACAAGAAGACAGTCAAGAAGAAGAAGGTTGAAAATGTGTTTCCTTTTTAAAATGTTTTTCTCTGTTGCTGCTCCCTTCCTTGTCTAAAACTCTTCACATTTATGTAGCTCCTATATGCCCCCCTCCCCCCCGGTACCTCTGTTCCTCTCCCAATGTGTAGCTCCTTGGGTATGGGGTAGGTCTTCTCCACCAGCTCCACTCCTCCCCTCCTAATACCCATGCCCTCTCTCACTTTAACTTGGAGCACCTTAAACCTGGAGCCTCCGAAATCCAACGCCAGAAACTGTCCTGTCTCTGCAGCAGTGGAGGAGCGATGCAAAAATATATGATCTGTATTGTACTGTATGTATGTATTATATGTTTCTTCTGAATGCACTGACCTAAAAAACAACCTGAAAAAGTGTGAAAACACATTAATATGATTTACCTGATCCATCAGGAGTGGAGCGGACGTGTGTTGGCAGCATCTTCACCGCTGCTGCGGCGTTGCTTTCCACTGAAAGCCCCTTCTTCAGTTCAGCCTGGAAACGAGCTGCGATGTCACTTAACTGGTCATCATGGAGATGCATGGCGGACAGAAACCTGTCCACCTAAATAATTAAAGGTGAAACAGAGCAAACGGTAAGCAATCAGAAGCATAGAGACACGATACAGATTCATTCTTTGTTTTTTATCTTGCCAACAAAGTAATAAACAAAGAGGAGCAGCAGAACAAATGTCACATTCTCTAAATCTTATTTATTAAAACCTCAGATTTTGGGTATATTTACATTGTGGTGACGATTTGGACTTGATGCGAAGAGTTATCCATTATCAGCAAATACATGGTTTATTTTATCTTGAGGTTGTGTATGTGGCATGTGCTCAACTCAAATGTATCACTTGTTTATAAAGCTCAAAGGTCATTTTGTGATAAACAGACTCAATCCAAGGAGTGTCGCTTGCATGTGGAGGAGACATAGGAGACTATGGACTTGTGTGCCACACATAAAGTGTGTAAAAAAAAAAAAAGAAGGAAAATCTGTTAATCTTCTCAAGAAATGACAAAAAAAAGCCTTTCCACACTCAGTCCCACACAGTAGACTCAGCCAATCTATCACTGTTGTGTCATGTTAAAGGGGTAAAGTCAGCTGGCTGCGTTTCACACTGTGTTAGTGTTTGAGTGTGGATGTGTGCTGTGTTCCGTATGAGAGTCAATACTTTGTCCCTGAGAGAGTGCAGTGTTGTCCCATCTGCACTAAGAGAGGAGTACAGTGACACTGCCAGGGAAAGATGTTAATCATTGCTCAGGAGATGAATGGTGACACAGTAACTAATGATAACAGCACCACGATCATCTTATTACTGAACAGGCTTCTGCCTTTTATTTTGGACAAGATCATAAATATCATGATTTATCTTTTATTTTATGAATTTCCTATAATGAATGATGCAGCACTACATTGGTGCATTAAGTTAGAAATCTAATTAATATTTTGGTTGAACTTGCCATAATTTCCATAATGTTTTACAGTTATATCATCAATCAAGGCCATAAATACACTTTGTTTGCAATTTAGCAAATTCTGTATGTAAGAAATTGACTGGTTATGTTTCTAAATGGCATTTCAGTTTGAATATATTACAGCAATCTCTGTCCATCTCATAATACCTCGTCTGTAGCAGTAGTCTCTAATGCTGAGAATTACTGCAGCTGGAACAAAAGTTTAGTTTAAGTGGAGGTGAAGCTCTTACCTTCTTTGTGGGATCCTCCTGGAGTTTGGAAAAGAAGGAGGCAACAAGATGAACGACAAACATCTTGATGTGCAACACAAACCACCATGAAAACTCCTTCCAGTTGGTTTGTTAGTAAAATAACAAAGGAAAAGACATTTAAGTGCAGCTACTGAAATACAGAGTCTGTTTCTTCCCTCCTGATAGTCTTGTGTTGTCCCACTGTACAAAATTCAATGATTAACAAGCCAAGCCCCTTGATCCCATAATTTCCTCCAATCTCTCTGGCTCTCCGCCCAACCCTTTCTTTTTTTTAGTATCAGTTGTGTCTCCGGTGACCGACACACTCGACCTTTACTAAAGATCTGCAGAAACCTCGGCTCAGCAAAATATTAGCAAAGACTCGACAAACGTCAAGGAAATTTTTCATCGATGACTCAGCTTAGCCCCATGACTATGACGGTTTTCAGAAAAACAGTTTAATCTATTAATTAAATGATACCACTAATACCAAAGACTGTATCAGACGGGAACGTCAAGGAAGCAGACAAACGATTGAATGAGATAACGTCTCAACAAGCAGCAGCCCAAGTACTCAATACAAACTCATGTTGTGCAGCCAAACATTGTAAAGAACATTTTATATTCTAGTGGAGGTCCCAAAGTTTCCAAAGATCTGAAATATATGACGCAGAATTTAGCAAAAGTGTGTATAAAACGGTGCACAGATCATATAGAATATTTCCGTTTGATGGAATAGTTCAGACATTTGAACATCAAATAGCTTCAGTGAAGAATTGGAACAAGCTGATGGAGTATTTATGATACTGTATAATAACATTTTAACAACCTTAACACTACTTAAAGGAAAACAAAAGGGGAAAATCTGCACATTAAAGCATTAAAGTAACTATATACTGTACAGGCAGTATGTGTGCCACATCCATGTTCTGCCAATTCCCACATGTCCCTCTTCACGGATGTGACTGGTCTGTAATGACTTGAGATTGTTCCCAATACTACATGAACTCATTAATACACATTTGATTTCATCTCTTTGGTGCCTCATGACCCATTGAAAATCCACACAGGAAAATCTTGAACATATTGTGTCTGTATTATCTTGTTATTCCCCGGAGTCAGCTGTATAACACAAAATAAACAAGACATCAAGACTTAAAACATAGTACATTTTTAATCAACTGACATCTTCCCCTTAAATATGCAAACAAACATGAAAAAATATGGCATCTCATCTGTATATGTAGACACCAGCAGGGATGCACTCAATTCTATGTATTCAAAATGTTCACAGAAACTGCAGCTCATGTCAGATTACTGTCACTGACAGTAATAACCCAACTAAGATGGATACATACTCGTGCTTTTTCTGAGGATTTATATTTGAGTACACTGAGCCAGATGGAAGCAAACTGATTCCTGACCTGCATAACACACACTAACAGTGCATGTTAAAATGTTTCCTGGTCACAGTGCTTGTAAATCAGCATTGAAACATTGTGGTAAACCAAAATGTTGCCAGTCAGTCTGTAAATTACAACTGTGGGCCTGTAGTTTAGGCAGGACGTCCCACAATAACCCACAACAATGGGTCTATTTCTTGTCAGCCAAATCCAAGTTAGGTCAGTAAGGTTTGTTGTTGGGCTAATTTGACAGATTTAAATTACTTTCCAAGGTGATTCTGTGAGTCATTTATTTGCTCCCACTGAAACGGGAGAATACAATGTGAGATTTAAGCACAGTGAAAACAAGAAATCCACATGGAAACATTGAATGACCCAGTACTCTGATGTAAATCTCAGTCCATGTCCAATGACCATAATCAAACACTGCTCTCGGGTTCAAATTACATGTTGGTGTTGTATTTTCATAGCTCGGGCTAAAAGCTCTTTACGATCCCCCTCCAGGACTAAAAACAAACCACCAGATATCACCCGAGGCTTGTATCAGTTATCAATCTCCAGTGTTGACCATGTGTGCTTTGTTCATTTCTTCTTCTTTTTTCTTTTCCCTTTGTTGTTGTTATTATTGTGAGGTTCTGTATCAAGTGCGCTCTGATTGGTGAATTCCTGCTTCTGATCTTTAGACCACTCCCTCTGAAGCTGCCGGAGCAAATCAGGAGTCAACAGCCCGTCTCTCACCAGGCGACTAGCTAGAGAGATGTCCATCTCTCCTGAGCCTCTTCGCCCCCTCAGAGGATTGCTGCTGGCACTTGCATTACTACCACCTGCTTGTCCACCCCTGCTGCCTTGTGTCTGTGGTGGGTTAGTGATGGTTGGGTCAGTGGCTCTGATGAGGTGGGTGATATTTAGGACACCCTGTTGTATGATATCATCAAGTTCCCGCTGGGCTTCCCGAACCAAGCCTGTGTCTGGAAACATGTCCATGAAACGGTAGCTGCAGAGACGGACAAAAGGACAATGTTATACTGTGAAGAAGAAGAAATATGATTGTGATTTCGCACACAAACAATAGATGACTACGTCAAACAACAACTTCCCATAATAAATCCAATTAAATGACAGGGAGACTTAGAAGAAATGTTAAAAACATCTGGTTACCTTAACCAGAGGTACAGATCCAACACATCATGAACAGCTTCCAAGTGAACCAGGTCTTTGATGTTTTTGGGTGCAGACAGAGGCCAGCTGACATGGCGACCCACCCAGTCAAATGTGAGGGGCTCGTCTCGACTGAACTGACGGGCAAACTAACAGAAACAACAGATTCAAATCAGTGCAACAAAGCTGGAAGTACAGGACAGTCTGCAAATCAAAAAGGAAAGCTCAATCACATCATTATGATTAATCCAAATACAGGATCATATATATAAAAAAAAAAAAAGTAAAACCAAAACTATGACCAATTATAACCGTTCTATTACTGTAATGAAATATTTTGCTATGCATTTACATCATTTGCTTCTTGACCGCTCAACAAGCAAGAAGGGGCTGATATTAGATTATACAACCTGACCCTGAATCCTAAAGGTAACAATATCTTAATTCTGGAGGCAATCTTATTTAACAGTATGCTACAGACATAAAGTCAGAGAGCAAAAGTGAAGTAGCTATAAAAAGTGTTCATCCTTATTTGGACTAGAACAATGAAACACTGAATCAGTTTCTGTTGTCTGGTAAACAGAAACATCTTAAATGTCAGAGTAAAAACAAACTGATCTAAATAGCTACATATCTGATTGATGATTACAGATCAAACATTTTGTTTGATATTTCATATGTAAGCCTCGTCTGACCCCAAAAAACCCAGACACTGCTGTTACTATTTATTAATAATTTCTACTTTCCCCTTAGTGTTGCCTCTGCTCATCAACCCAACTATTTACATGGTTCACACACATTTTTATCAATTCATTTCCAAGACTTTTCCATGCATTTAATGACAATTCTCTGAAATGTATTTGTACGAATGAAAAACAAGAATAAAAAGGTGGGAGTCCGACGTTACTCCATGCAGAGAACAATGTAACGTCAAGTAACGCCAACATTAAAACATTGTTAAACTAATTTAGATGTTTCTCAGTTAAGCTTACCTGAACCACATATACTCTATTATACAGGTTAAGAAAATGTCCATGACATTTCCAAAACCTTCTGGGATCATTTATTTTCCTGGAAATTACTTTTTTCAAATTGCAAGACTTTTTTTCCCATGACCGTACGAACACTGCATTTACCTCCTTTCATCTCATGCCTTCTTCCCAGCCTTACCTTCAGGAAGGAGGTGCATACAAATGGTTGTTTCTTGTTGATGGGAGCCGTGCAGAAGACGTAGCGGGACCTCAGGTTGAGTGGAATATGCTGAATCATATCAGCCAGAAACTTGAAGTCCTCAATGTTGCAGACAAAATACATACCGTCCACCTGAGAGAGGCTGACAAATATGTCCTGCGAGGAAGAGGAGTCACAACGTTTGTCAGAATGAGAAGATGAGGCCACAGCGTGCATGTAATAAACCAAACCAGAAGATTTTTAGAGTGCAACTTCCCCTGGACTTGAGCGTCTTTGTTACCGGTCAGAATTTAGCAGCGTCTTCTAGGCACTTCTTTGCATTCTTAAGGACCACGTACATCTCTTCATGTACAGCCCTGTTTTGATCCGGTTCTCCCGGTGGGATAATGTGCCATGTCACTCAAAGCATTCATCATTTCAAAATGGCTTTAGGAAGATGGTAGTTGACTTGAGTTTACTATCTTACATCTCAACAGTCTGAAGAAGTTCACACAATAACAACAGTCCCTCCCAAAATGAATGCAGCGACCGTTCGACATCAGGTCCTAATCAAAGTGTTAGTAGGTAGGAGAATAAGTGGATGAATAGATGGCTATACTCACGACAAGGTTTGACAGTGTAGCTTCAGGTAGATGATAGGCAAACATCTCTATCTGCTCTGCTGTAGGATGGAGACCTGCAGTCTGAGACAAAGGAGGAGACATAAATTACACTAAATATAATACATAAGTGTTGCTACATATGCTGCCGATACCTTTACCTAAGAGTGAGTGTGTGTTTATGCTCGTGTATAAATGATCACCTCTATGGGGTCTACAGAGTGGCTGAGTATCTCCTTCAGAACAGGCAGATCATCTCTGTGCATGGTGGTGACTTCTCCCTCTTCAAACACTGAGGCAAACCTGAAGATGTGACAGAGGAGACGGGTTTTAGAAATTTACTTGACAGAAAATAAATTGCTTGTTACCAGCCACGACAGCGGTGCTGGTATTGACTTCACCGTGTGTGTGTGTGTGTGTGTGTGTGTGTGTGTGTGTGTGTGTCTCAACTTGGCAAAATGTGGTGGAGACACATACTGCAGGGAACTACCACAAAGACGGTTTTGAGTACTTTGCTGCGTGTGTTTGTGTCTCCCTCTGTATCTCAGTGTGTGCGTGCAGGTGTCTCTCTCTCTCCCCGTCTGTGCATGCTTGTGTCTCTCTCTCTCTGTCTGTCCGTCTCTTCTCTACCACCTTTAACCCTCCTGAATGGGGATAATGCGTGTGAAAAAGAGACTGACCTCCCTGCGCGGCCAGATATCTGCAGGGCTTGTGATGTGCTGATGGTCTCCATCTGTTTCTCCCCTTTCTCATTGACATTAGGCTTTACCAGACTGTTGAAGATTATACGTCTTATACTCCTGGAGAGAGACGAAGAAAGGCAGACAAATGGATAAACGTGAGCCGAGTTGATGGAATCTATACATTAATCAAAATGTGACCATTACACTGCCTTCGTAAAGCTTGAAGATTAAAGTCTTGTTAAAGCGAGAATATTACATTACAGTCATTTAGCAGACGCTTTTATCCAAAGCGACTTACAATTCAGATTCTATCACACCGTGGTATTACAGTGTGCATGATGGTACTTACAGGTTGAGGCCCATGCCAATAGCATCTGTAGCAACCAGTATCTTGCAGGGGTCCTCAGGGTCATTGAACTTCTTGGCCTGTGCCAGCTTGGTGCCTGTAAATCACAGAACAACCAAGCTTGGTCTCTGTTTCGAAGTCTGGAGCCCGACAAAGGTCTCTGTCACACAAAAGGCTCAAACTATGGACAAAAGCCTCAGTAGAGTTTATTCACACACGACCACCTCTTTCTTTAATAAACATGGAGACGCTTAATTGAGGAAGACACAAATTCATAGAGAGGTTTTATCTTTTAAAGACCACGTTGACATATTCGGTCTTTTCCTTCCACACAGACATACATTTATTTCAACATCCTTCTAGAAAATACTCACCTGGAGGTAAACTCCCATAAATTACAGCACATTCCAGTCCTCTGGCCTCAATCTGTCTGCTTAGGGAGTAGATGTCATTTTTACTGAAGCAGACGATGCAATCTCCTGGTCTCAAGTTGTCTAATGACTCCACGGCATGATCCAAGATTGTGAATGGAGTTAACCGCTTGTAGGTGTTGACCTTAAGAGAGAGGGAGGAGTGGAGGGACACAGAGAGGAGAGAGAGAGCGTTTACCCAAACAACAATGATTAAAAAACAAACGGTGAATAACATCAGTGAGACCCTTCTCTTCCTGCTGCACTACATATTACAGCCTCACCTCCACCTCCTCTCCAGTGGTGTACATCAGCTCTCTGATAAAGTCTATGGCTGCAGGTTCACCACACACATGGATCTCCTCTGCACAGAGACCTGCACAAATACAAAGATGTCAGCTGCCGAAGTTGGAAACATCAATAAATGATAAAACTCAAAAGGTACAAAGAAAACATGCCAAATCTGCGTAACTTAAGTCTGTTAGAGGTGTGCTTGTACATATTTTGTTTGTGTAAACAAACTGTAAATATTCAGTGTGAGCTGTATTGGTTGAATGGTAAAAGAAAGTTTTAGATGATACTCATTAGTTTAGTCTTAAATCATACGGTCAGGTAGAGAAAAATTAGCTCCTCAACAGGTTGTGTGTGTGTTTAGTTGACTGGCTGTATATTTTTGCGTGTGTGTTACAAACCCAGCAGTGCTCTGGTCCAGGCCCAGCCTCTGGAAGGATCTCTGATCATTTGAATTTCATCGATTACAGCCACCTCATCTGAAGATAGACACACAAAAAGAAAAACAAACCTGGGCTTAACAGTCGAGGTGATGCCATGTCTTTGTTTATCAATGAACACAAACAGAATTCCCCTCAGTGCATAAACTTCTGCAACAACAAACAAATATATAATTATTACTGCATTCATTTATGGATGGTGGTTAATTAGAATGATTGTAATTCAACATAATCACAACTCAAACATTTGAGGCTAGATCTTGTTTTTTGTGTTTAAAAGAGCAGAGAGTCCACCTTTTAGAAAGAGACAGCAGTTAAACATTATTTTTTAATTTAGCTGATACAATCTGATAAGATACAATTCAATGTCCAACAGAGAAGTGTTTTCTTGTTATACGTATGCTATTAAACAGAAATGTTTGTACGCGTTAGGTTTACTTACAAGGTGTGATGACACTGCACATCTCAATGGTACATGCCACATGACCAGATGCTCGACCGTCTGAGTCCATGAAGGTCCTCTCCTCTCCAGTGACTAAGTCACATGGCACACCCTGGAGATACAAACAGGACGATAGTCAACAGTACGGTGTGGTGAGCAAGAGATAAACAATGACATCGTAAAAATATACACACACATGATAGACACAGTGAGAGACTTTTTTTCCACTTGTGTAGTGATACTCCCCAAGACCTTTAAATGACAGAAGACGACAAACACGTACGGCATTATTGCTCTTCTCAAAGATCTCGTGGGCCAGTAGTTTCAGGGGGCCACAGTAGACTCCCGACTTAGCGGCCAGGTAGCGCTGGATGGCATGGTAGGTTTTACCACTGTTAGTGGGACCAGCATGGAAAATCACCTTCCTCTGGATGGCACGAGCCTCAGGGTACCTGAAGAACACACACACACAAACGCATACGGACTGTAACCACATCGTGCATATTACTCCACATGGATAAACCACTGCTGTGACATTCCTGAGTCGGGCTCCATGATACGTACCAGTTAGCAGGGACTCTGAGGTCTGAGATCTTTCTCAGGTCATCCATACAGTCCAGCATAGGAAAGATTTGCTTGGCATGACGCATAAAGTATGGGTAGAGGTCATCAACATGACCTGTATAACAGCAGACGTTAAAGTTTATTATAGTTGAAATTTAATAAATGAATCAATATGATCTCTTGACACAACTCCATCTTGAGGTTTAATTAGAAAACAACAAACCTGCTCCATAGCAGATGTCACTAAGGATGATGTGCAGATCGGCGGGGAGTGATGTTACTTCCAGGATGAACTTCCTGAAGCTAATGAAGGCCTGGTGGAACAGACGAGCTGTAGACACACACAAAAAGACACACAAGGCGCACCGTGCAGGTTAGACTTCTGTCCGCATCAGTCTGACCAAAAAAAAAAAAAAAAAAAAAAATCACAAGATCAGGGCATAGCTGATCTCCACCGACATGATGATCATTGGCTGTTAGTCATCATTTTCTTTAACATGCTTTTAACATAATAAAGTTCTCTGGTTGATGACAACATTTATCAGGCCAAAGAAGTGCCACACATTTATTTCACAACAACAACAAAAGTGGGACATGATGATTCTGAAAACAACCTCTGTTGAGCCCAGACTGATGTTGAGCCCAGACAGTCTGGTTATGTCTGTATGCTGTGGTGACATAACTGCATCTTAAGCTTTATTTAATTCTCTCCCCATGTATGTGTGATCATATGTTAAATACTGATTGATGCTTTGAATTTCTATCTATCTATCTCAGAAACATTTACATTGGCTTTAAAATTACAATATATTGAAAAGATGTGAATTAATTTCTCACCATCCAGCCCATGGTCTGCTGCCAGCTTCTGCATCTCCTTCTTCTTATAAAACCGATTCAGAACTTTCAGCAGTTCAGCTGAATCACAGAAACAGATATATTATCAGAGAGACAATAATACACACAGTGCGTTTAAAATACTGTCCACTCAACTATCACCTCGTTGTCGGAATAGTTGAATACTTCCACAAACCTACGGGCCACTTACACTTAAAGTCCAGACCTGCTTAAAGTAAATGTGCTCACTTTTATCGAGTGGTTGCGTCAGCTCCACTCCCACACTGCCGTCTGACAAGCAGTCCATCCTCAGAGAGATGGGGACAAACAGAGAGGTGTCCGGAGGCTTTGAAGAGGAGCTGTTAGATGAACCAGCCCGATGTTGTCTGTGCAACAAACCAGACCCAGGAGACGCACGACAGTTGCCAGCAGCGGTGCGGGTAGTCCGGGTGCTAATGTGGCGTTGAAGTCGGGACAACAGATACACACACCGGTTCACCGACATCGCTGCGAGTCGTGTGTACCCCGGGTGTCGGCACCTCCTGCTGGCTACGTAGAAAACGTGTGCTACTGTCGCTCCATGCTGTTCGGCAGGTCTAAACGTGCGAATTACACAGAACCCACTTCACCAGAGGACGGTCAACACTAGTCTCTTCCTGCCGTTACAACGTGCAACAGGACCAGTCGCTGTATAGCTGCCCACAAACGTGCCTGTGTTGATATTGAGCATTAACTAAGTTTGTATTCAAAACGTGATGAGAATTAGTCGCCTGAATGAGCCAAAGTTATTCAATAACAAAGTATGACCGAACATAGTTTTTTGTTTTAGAATGCGGTGTCGCAAAGAAATAACATTATAAACAGGCATAAAAGGACTTCTTTATAGCTGAAACCGAAGATCGTATAAGCCGATTGTTACAGCGTCTCTTTGCATACTCATCACCTGCTTTGAGTAAAACGATCTTTGAAGGTTTCCAAGGCCTTGCATTCACTTGTATGAACTCTTCAGAAGGGACTTTCTATTTATTGTTTTCAAAATTGAAAGGATGCAGACTTGTAGTCCTGTTCACGTCTGGTAAATTACATAAGCCTCGTTAATAAAAAGCCATGATGAAAATTAGTATCTATCATTCCATATCTCCCCCTCTACCATCAAGACAAATGAACATGAAAGTTATCATTTCCTAAATGTGTCTATTTCCTTTGTCTACTAGTAGACTCGTGGCCAGAATTAGAGATATACTGATGTCATAACACATAATTCACACCAGCCCCCACACACAACATTGCTTATCAAAATTGTGACTACTACGTACTATGTGCAATGTTCCCTCAGCTGTATTTGAATGCCTAAAATATTTACAATGAGTCAAGAAATTAAAGTCTCTCTGAAACCTCTCATATACTTTCCCCAGGTGGTAATCAATTGAAAAAGCCGTAAACAGACAAATTACTCGTTGAAGGCTGTGGATATCTTCCACACAGACTTCTTGTTGGATGAATTAAATATTTGCACAAACCATGATGAGATGTACTCGTTTACAAAAAAAAGAACTGAACTCTTATGACTTTTTTTAAAGAAAGAGTTGTTGAAAAGATATTCTGTATAAATTTGCTTTATTCATGATTCATTGGCTATATATTTGGGTTTGGTGTATATACACATCATACACACACACACACACACACACACACTCACACACACATTTGATGGCATGATTAGACATTGTGTAAAGAGTAACATGCAGTAGATAAGACGGGCAGAGACTTTTGGCCTTTAAAGTGTTTCTTCATTACCTTGGAAGGTATTTAAAGTACACCAAATAAACCCAACCTGTACAGTGTTTGGAAAGAAAGACAGTGTTACCTGCAAATTAATTACACTGCTCCCAAACTAAATATAACATGACAGCATGACTTGTACATGAGAGACAAAAAGCAACCAAATATTGTACTTCTTAGCCAGTCCAATGAAAACAAGTCATGATGTATAAATGTCAGCATAATTTCAAATAGTCACAGGAGATCTCTGAGGCAAAGCTGTCCTTGAGTGATGTTTAGTTTCAGCTTCCATGAAACAAAGTTCAGCATTGAAGGGGGAAGTGCAAAACTGGCCACAGATCAGAGCTTACGGGCAAATTCAACCAACACACAAGACCGCTAACATCACCTAACTGTGTGCGTCTTTAAAGCAGGACCTAAACAGCCGGTCTGAGCGTCACAGTGGAGTATTGTTGGATTCTGCAGTATATCGTTACAGCATCCCTTCCAGCACTAACAATAGCAGACGTGAGCCATTTATTTAACAATAGTATTCTACTTATACCACACCAACAGACCCAAAAATGCTGCAACCTAAAAACAGAAAAAGAAAGTGAAACTGAATGTGAATCTAGTCTGCTGAGGATTGAAAACAAAAGGAGAAAGCGCTTCTCATGTGGCGGTGACGAACATACATTTTCAGGTGCAAGAAGCCGGAAAACTTCCTCAACTTTCAACCTTTTTTGAAGCTTTGAATTTAAGATAAAGAAGAAAATCTATTTCCTACATCAACTGATGTGAGAGTCAACTGAGGGAACTTAAGGGTTCAGTTAACCCGAATAAACACATTTTATATAATAAAAAAAAAGCATATCTTATATTTAGCCAGAAATATTTTGTGTCCAAGTATTCTAATCTCTCTCTACAATTAAATGGACATCAAAGAAATTAAATTTGTGGTGCACAAGGCACTGAAATCTAACTCCAAGTTAATCCAGATAATTCACATATCCAGATGGGAAAATAATAATGCTTTTTGTGATTTGGGTGAACCTACCCATAACATAATTTCGGGAAAACAAACAATGGTTTCTATACTTCCAAGATTAGTCATAAATAAACAGCACTGTAAAGATCAAACAAAAGGCCTTGAGCAGATCAGAACCAGACAGCGCTAGAAAAATGCATCAAATATTCATCTTAACATGAGACTTAACTGTGGTATTGAGCTCAAGAATCTTGAACAAGCGGTGGATTTGAACGTATGATGCTTTCAGAGCTACGACGAGTAATTTCGATGGTCGATGAATTAATTGTCTCTCCAGTTCGAGCTTCTCCAGTGAGCACTATCTGTGTTTCTCTCTGTTATTTAATTGCAAACTGAAACATTTGAACTGTTGGTCAGACAAAAAGACGACATTTGTAGAAGCCACCTCAAGCGCTGCGATTACTGTGATGGACCCATTCCACGTTTTATCTGACATTTTACAGACCGATTTATGGATTCTGCAATAAATCATTAATTGCAGCTTTAAATTATTTATATTTAGTTAAATGATTTTATGAAATAAATGTCACTGAAAAGATAAAAAAAAAAAAAAGATAGTGTCCATCATGAATCAAACTCGAATGGAATGAAATATGGACGGAAACTGAAAATATGGAAGAGTGGAAAATGTTTTCATTTTCACAAAACAGCCACTTTTGAAGATGAAATATAAGATTACATGTATGTTAAGATGGACATTTGTTGCACTAAACAGACATCTGCATGGAAGAAGCAGCCTGTGGGCGGCTACAACATACTTAACTGTGAAACTCTTGATTTCCCGGCTAGATGAACGAGAACACAGCGGCATCATCGCAGCTTAAGCTCCAGTATTGTGAATAAACACAGAATGCGTGTTGACTTATAGCTTAGCCTCTGGTGTCCTTCATTCAGGCTGATCCCCACATGTCTTGATTACTTTAAATCACTGGCTATCCCATCCAGACTTTTGACATTTTGTAACGGGGGTGAGGATGCCAGAGGAAGTGCTGTCCAACTATGCAAACAAAATAAGCTCCTGTTGCAGAAGAAAGGGATAAATGGTGTGGTTGTCGTCTGCAGCCTTCTCCTCTTTTTCATCTTTGCTCCTGTTTTTTTATGCTTTCAGCAAACTGAGACTGTATGGCTTCACTCGTGTGTGTGCTTGAGTGTGTTTTCAGCCTGAGACCTCAAGATCAAACAGGCTGCCTCTCTGTTCCTACCTTGGGTTGGTTTGATTTGCACTCTTAGCTTGACATTTAGCTTTTAGCCTTCTCGGATCGTATGCTTGTGCGTCTGTATGCGAGTGTGTTTCAGTTCTGGGGGAGAGAGTGGAGGTGGGTCGGGTCGCTCACATCTGAAGCTGTGGAGTATTGATGGGCATGTCTGACTGTATGTTATGTGTATTCATGTGTACATTTCTCAGTCCAGGGAGATAATGGGGCAGCCCTGACACCTCTGGCTGTTCAGCAGTGAAGAGTTGGTGTGTTTCTGTGTGTATTTTCAGTTCATAGCATCGCAATCACATCTCTGGCTGCTCTGCAGTAACCGGCTGGGTTCGGGGCTCAGGCGACTCGTAACGCTGGAAGTTCATTTTCCTTATCTTCTCTGGAGCTTTTCTCCACAAAACAATCTCCTAAACACAGAGGCAGAAGAATGTATGCACAAAGAAACTTGTATTACTTATAATAATCCCAAAAAAAAAAAAAAGAAATCGAGTGGCACCGTTTACATTCAGTGATTGTCACTGACATATTTCATCTCATTGATGTAGAATACTCTTGATGTGCAGGTGTTTTACCTGCTGTTTAAAGTATCTCCTGTCCTCTTCGTCGACCAGCACCAGATTAAGGAAGTAGCGTACAGAGAACTTCTTGTTGACATCCCTCATGGTGGGTGTCAGGTCATATCCTGTAAGGACACAGAAGATGTGATACACTGTCGCTCAATCTGTAAGTACAAATATGCTATTCAAAGGATTTTAGAAGAGGGAAACTGACACCCTGATGATATGATACGACTTACAGTTGACTGTCTCTTATATCTTTGTAACTGAAAAAGAAGAAGAAATGGAAAACAACATACCTGCCAGGAACAGTCTGATGGGAATGGATTCTCCTTTAACTGGAGCTCCATCCATGATTTCATACTTTGCAACCGTCTCTGTCTCTGTGGTAGTACTGGGACCTAAAACAAAATATACATGAAGTTAAGTGATAGAATATGGAAAGTGGAGCAGAGCTGACAGACGTTTCTGTTCTTGTTGGGTCCTAAGTAAACCAACGACAGCATTTCACAAGTAGAGAAACCCCAGAGGTGATGAACTACAACATCAGCACAGTCATGCTGCTGTCCATGCGCATGCTTCCCTGGACTCTTACCTATGCCTGTTATCTCCTTCTTGATGAGCTGGAGCTCCATGTGTTGGATCTTGATCCTGACCAGCAGGAAGTAGATCTTCCCAACAATCACGTCCTTTAGGTGGTATCTAACAAAGAGACGCATCAAGAGAAGCTGCTCAAACTGACACGGGTCTCATTTGGTTTTGTGGTTTGCTGAGGAGGCAATAAAGTTTTCACCAGGGAAGCGACATTGGTCTTACTTGGATTTATTGTATTCAAACTCAATGTGCAGACAGTCTTCTATGCCGACCTCCATCTTGATCGAGTTGTTGACGTCTGGGTAGGTGGCTAACTGGTGGACAATCAGCTCATATTCCTTCACTAAGTCAGACAGACGACGAACTATTGTCACTCTGAGGAAATACCTGTGAGAAGAACACACAGATAAACACAAGCTTTGAGAGTCTGGCAGAAACAACGCTCAACATGTCGTCATCCAAGGAGAATTCCCCGCTGTATCAATCTGTGACAACCATATAAAAATAGCAGGAGAAAAAAAAATAAATAACATGTTTGCACATACCTAAACCAAACATTATCTTTATACTAGTCTGTGCAATTTATTATTAATATTTCATGTACCGTTGTCAGCGTTGGGCTGCTTGAGAGAGATATTATTAACAATATAGGGCAGCAACTAAAAATTATTATTAATTAGTTAACTCAATTTTGATTGACTGATTGATCATGAAAGATTTCAGAAGTTATAATCACATATTACAGTACTACTGATACCAATATCAGCAATGTATGCATTGATCCCTGTGGAGGACCTCTCTACACTGGTGCAACAGCACAACATGAACCAGAGAAAAGCTCTGCTGCAGACTGTCTGTTGCCATAATATTGAACGTGCATACTAGATGCTGAAGTTCCCGGCCCATCATCAACATCACATGAGTGTCATAAATGCATTCCATGTAATTAATATAAGAAGAAGCTGCCTGATGTCAAACTGTGTAATAAACATACCGTAGCCGGACATTTGCTCCAGTATAGGACTCATAGGGCTTCTCCACCTGCATGAACTCAAAGTCGTAGCTCCTGTTCTGGGTGAGTTCTCCAGGTAGAGCCAACTCTTTCACCAAGTCCACAAATTCATGAGTGTTGCTCTTATCAGAGAACAGCTCTGAAACACAGCAGAGGGGATGTAGAGTGATGCCGTATATTTAAAAAACACACTACAGAAAGTGTTATACATTAGTTTACTTTAGATTCCCTGCTCTTAATACACAATGATGTCGTCCTCCTCCTCCTCCTCCTCCTCCTCCTCCTCCTCCTCCTCCTCCTCCTCCTCCTCCTCCTCCTCCTCCTCCTCCTCCTCCTCACCACATGAGAACTGAGCCTACAGTTGACAAGTACTTTTTCTGGCTATAAAGCAATGCATTCAATTATCATTTCAAACATTGCATGCCGCTAGTTGCATAAGGCAATTTAGAAGTGTTAAATACAATCATTAAAATCTCCATACACTGTACTTTAATCACGCTCACCTATCTGTCCAACAAACTCAATGCGGATGCCCTGATGCTCCAGTCGCTTCCCTCCCTGCTTCACATTTAGATTCACCTGGGGAAACATTGTCGAGCAGATCAAATAACATATGAATCAAAAAGTACAATAACAGTTTGACACATTACATATTTAGCAATATATTTGCTTCTTACAGAGAAAAACTAGGACAGCCACTCTTTATAGACCACCCAATATCTCTGAGATGAGCTATCCCTTGATGTTACAGATACATTGGATGCTACTATATTGGTTAACAAAGCTGATAAATCTGCTGATTAGGGTTGTCACAATACCAAAATTATGACTTCGATACGATACCTGCCATAAGTATCACGATACCCGATACTTACGATACGATACCAGAATTCGATACAATACCACAAATACGATACTGGTATATTTATCTATAATAGTAATAAATAAATCATCTGTATGGTTCCCTTTTTTACCAGCTTGTTCCTGCCCAGCTTTTTGAACACTTAACAAATAGCATTAATATTAATGTTTAACATCTTTTGAGCCTCTCTCATATTTCCACTGGCTTTCAAACACAGCTGGAAGGGAACTCTGTCTCTGTGTTGCTGCTGACTCTGCTGGCATCTGTCTGACTGTCTGTGGGAGTGGGTGGATAAACAATGCTTAATTTACTTGCATAGTGAGTTTGATATTTTCACTTCATATTTTATCTTAATTCATGGAATAATTATTTATCCTTCACTAAAAATAAAAATAATTAACTCAAGATCCACCCTCAGGCTCCACCAGCATGGAGCCATTTTGCATCAATTGTGTTTCATTTAGTACACTTTTGTGTGCATTGTGACCTCATGATCATACAGGCTTGTCGTCAAACTAGGCTAAGGCTACTCGTGTTAGGCTGTATATGGGTGAGCTTGGGGGTGTTCATGTTTATAATCACATTTGCTTACCTGTCGTTCTTTGAACTCTTTGAAAAGTTCGGGGTGTCTGTCTGAAAGGTGCTTTGCCATGTTAGACGTGTTGCCTCCCTTGGTCTGTGTGGCTTTGAAACAAGTTTCGCAGACGGGTCTCTGTATGTCAGTGGGGACCGTATACGGACCACCATTTCCGTTGTTGGTTTCGTTTTTCCATTTTTGGTTTGAAACGAAAAACGAGAATACCATGGTATTTCCGTGTTGTCGTTTTTTCGACTGAACGGTAAAAACGTACACGGACCTTGATGCATGTCTCCCCTGCTATCACTCGCTGTGAGTGAGTGATGCCTGTTGCTGTGTGAGCGCTGGGCAGCCCCGCCCCCTTGCAGTCAATGCCTGCAGGCAGCATGACAGGGACTGGAACAGAGAGTGCGCTCTGATCGCGCTATTTTAATAAAGTATCGATACTAAAAATATGCAAAATCGTATCGTTTTTAACGTACGGGTACCGCGGTACCTTTTTAGTATCGATACACCGTGCAACATTACCGCTGATACATTTGTGGCGCCTAAACATAGATGCTTCACTTCCTTCTGAGGTCAGAGCAAATCTTTCACACACATCAAAGGAGCCATAATTTCCCACTGGGCTCAGTTAAAGAGGGGATACCAGAATAGACTGTGGTGTAGTGGAGAGGTCCATTATCTGCCTACTGAGGACTGTTAACTAATAAATGAAAGACAGCTAACATGAATCATGCTTCGTGTAGGAACGCCTTACTGAACCTCGTGGCGCTCTGAATGCCACTGTATATATAGTTTACCTTGCCAGACACAGACTCTCCGTCGTAGAACAGGTAGTGTTTCTCCACTTTCCCGTCTTCTGTCTTCAACTCGGCTGTCTTTCTGTTCTCTGCATCATTCAGCAGTACGTCTATCTCACATACGGGCCCAAACAATCCTCCTAGGAAACTCTGAAAACACAATGAACGGCATAGAAAACTGTGTATTATTACACACACAAACAAACAGTTTAAGAAAGGCAAGAGTAACTAACTGGTGATTGTCAGAGTATGTTGACTACGACTTTATTCAGAGCAAATAAGGAGGTATCGTGGACAGAAGATTCTTGCTATATTAACCTGAAAAGCATTAACTGCACAATTTTAAGCAGAACTACTGTTAACATCTTTCTTTTTAATCTTCAAGGTCCGTCGTTCAGAGCAGATTCAGAGCAAAGACTGGAAAATCTATGATCACCATGATGTGCGGTTATTGGGATCTAAGAGACTGAAATACAATGTCACAATTTTCAGTCTCACATTATAGATGATCGTGTCAGGACTGAGGATCCTGTATGAACTAGAATGCATCCTAGTTCATACAGGATATTGTAGGTTATTAACACGCATCTCTATGGACTCTGATATTTGCAATAATCACAAACACACCGCCACTAAGTAAACATCTGCAGGTATGTGCACGCGAGTGGAACTAACAATCAGTCTTAAGTTGTCTCTATGTAAATCCCCCACAGCCACTCCCCATCTGTTATTGCCACACTAACTCAATCACTTATCACTTGGTTGCACAGACACATTATTTTCCTCTGAGCTGGCAAATAGTCACAAAAACATGCTTCAGCATGCAGCAAATCTGGAGGAATCAGCCCAATCATCAAGATGTCAGGAGAAACCGGTCACTGTCTGGACACAAGAGTGGTGCTTTTAATCCACTGTATCCCCCAAAAGGATGCATAGATCACATAGAAAATGCATAGAAGAAACTCTTAAATATATGAGCTACACAAGAGCAAACAACATGGTAAACACAGCAACAGTGCAGCAAAGTCGGTGGGTGTCGACTTGCAATTTTCCTAAACTAATTGAATTAATAAGCGACCAGCAGTTCTCCAACTAGCATTTGCTTTAAGCATTAAAACATTAACGTAATTTCAGAGCTGTTGCTGCAATACAACACGCATATGTCACACGGTACGATTTCACATTACATCCCACTAACCAGCCAGCAGCGTTAGCTAACATTAGCATGTCTCTCAGCCCGCTGGCAGCTTTACTCACCAAACATAAACGAGCTCAAAATATATTTGAATTACTAACCAACACTTTTAGTTGCTGTCATCATTAACCAAAGCTGTTGGGCCGTTAGCTAACTAGCCAAAACCTCAATGAGAAAGAGAAGACGGCCTCGTACTGATGCTAATTCGACCAACCCAGCTAGCTTTCCTGTCCGTTTCAATACCAAAGAGTTGCTGTCAAGGACAATTGGGGGTCTGTGTAAATGCTGGTATTTTTTATAATTTAATAACCTAGTTCATTTCAGTGTGGTCCGAACAGCTGACGCTTGTTTTTACACTCACCATCTCGGCCGTCTGACAGTCCGATAGTCGAAGCTAACAGCTAGCCTCGCTCTGTGCAGCCAGTCCAACTGAAGCAGGAGGGAGTATCAAGGCTGGCCGTCATGTGACCCGTCATGTGTGCTCGGAGTGGGGGGGGGATAGTAATAGATCATATTATTATAGTACATAATATATTATTATTAAGAAAAGTAAGTGAGTTTGTAATTATCCAGAAACAACTCCAGGATTCATATTGGGAGAAGACATCACATTACCTCATGACTCCAATACCTATTGTTGTTCAGTTGTATTGACTTTATGCTGCTTTTGTCCTAAAAGTTTGATGTCTATTCTCATGTTCATCTTTTTTATTTATTATTAATAACATTACCTATAATGCTTTTTATAGTTATTTAAGATTTGTAATGCATCACATACATCTTCTCCTTATAAATAAGTCTATCTATAAAATAAATAAATTTTGTATAAATATGTATTATTTTTTTTAGGATATATCACATGAATAAAACATCAAAAGATAATTTCTCATTACTCTTCTGTTGACCCCACAAACTACCCAACTGACTGTGGAGTTAGTTTATTAAACAGCAGATATAAGGACAGTTTTGATAAAGTCTAGTGAAAACACAATTGATACTGTTGTTATAAACCCTTTATTTTATTTCAAATACAAATTAGCCAATGCACAGCATGTTGAAATGCATGCATGTGCACAACATGTATTTTGAATATGTTTCAGCTCACAGTGGTTAAGATTGCGTGAATTCGTTCCTGAGGGGTTTGGGTTTGCAAGATTCTCTTGTTCAACTTTGCAAACCAGAAGTTCCCAGAAGATGTTGCATGACCCTCCTGGGTAAGTGTAAATTGTCACAACATTTGAGAAAATGGGATCAAATTACATAAATACATATTTTTGTGTGTTTTAAAGGAACACATGCCTCATAGCTCCAAAAAATGGTTGGAACCACAGCTGCACAGCGTGAGCAATGCATGGACAAAGGCGTCATCTTATTGCACCGGTATTAGAATTATTTCAAATTTTATAGTAAAAAGCACATCGCAACTTACACATCGTTTCCACAACAAAGCGCAAATTCAGGTCACAGCCAACTTATTCCAAATGAAAGTGTGTAAATGTCTCATTTATGCAGACCATTCTTAACTTTGGCAGATACGTTTTCATTGTTTACACTTTTTATTTTGCCCCTGAAGACCCACCAATAGCACTGAGAATATAAAATATATATTAGGCCTTTGTCAATCTCTGAGCAACTATGTTTTTACACCACCAGGTGGTGATGCAGTATTAGGTTTACTATTTGAATAGACAATGTGGAAATAAAAACAGATGCTAGCCTTGTGAATGTTTCTTAGAGTGGGTGGGTGCACACTGTCTACAGCTGCAGAAGGTGGTCTTCTCTCAGCTCCTGCTCTGCTGGTTTTGCCTCAGCAACCAGAGACCTGCTTGGGAACAACCGCCGCATGCCCCTCATGTCTCCAACTACAAGCAGAAAAACAAGGACAGATCAGACTACATGGAGCAGAAGAAGGAGATCATTGAAAACTATTGAATCCTTGCAACTCAAGCTCTTTTCCCAAAAAGTTACCTTTGTATTGCTCCCCATCTTTCTCTGCCCAGGACTCTCCGGAGCCTGTCTCACCCAAGGCCCAGTCTGCCAGGTATGTATCAGCAGAGCCTTCATGACCTCCAGAACCGTCCTCAGTCTCTCCAAGGGACTCCCCCTCTTCACTCGTCATCTCCTCCTCATCCATCTCTAACTCCATTTCCTCCTTCCTTGGTGAATGCTCATACTCCTCGGGCTCGGCCTCTCTAGAAACACAATGTCAGATATTGAAAAATGTGAATGGAGTTCAGCAGGTTGTAGCTGTCTGTTTTTAGCAGTCTGTCCAACTTTATCATATCAGTAAATATTATGTTATGTTCATGTAAACTCATCATCAATGACATTTTTACTGCATATCAAACAACAACAAAGAAACACAACTTCACAAATTAAACATTAGACACTCCATAAGCTTTAAAGATCCACAGCAGACATGTTTTAAGACATATAAAAACACTTAATATATACAAAAAAATTCTGTGATGAAGTTTTTCAAGGAAAAAAAAAATCAATAAACTACTTAAAAACTATTGAAGAGATATTTACTCACTCATTCTCATTTTACACCAATTTATACACTTGCAAATGTTAGTTGCAGCCCAAATGCGCACATATAATTCTGCACAGTGACAACAACCAAACACATGTGTGAGTGAAGGAGAGCTTTTTCATGTTGAAGTCGTTACTTCAAAAAAGGATTAAGGCATATTTAATGTTTTGGTTTACTTTCAAGCAATTGGAGCAGGTAGACGTTATAACAGGAGCTAATGCATACCAGGTGCCTACACAGGGTTTTCACTTATTTTGCCTGATTAGACTTCTTCTGTAGACTGTGTGGGGGCGTGTACACACAGGGCTTGATTGACATCTGTCTGACCCTGATATTAGCTTCCATGAAGTTTGGTGTACTCATGTAATGCCTTTCTTTGCCGCCGTCGCACTAGTGCTTGCTCATGAGAAATGTTGTCTCTCTGCAAATTAAAGAGTACGGCTCCATAAGAAAAGCGTCAATAATGTACTTGTCTTGACTAACTTTGACAAATAGAAGTCTAATTAGGTACTTTTCACACATCGGTATCAGACTAGTGTGGCACATATATAGATACAAAACAATAGACCAGAAACAGCAGCCCACCAGGCGTCACAGCCCACTTCCTCTCAACACTTCCCTCTGACTTCCTGTTCAAGCTGCAAAAGGGAGGGCTGCTGCTGAGGTCCTGGTGCAAGCTGATGTGGGAGGCTAGATAAGACTCAGACTAACGACACAAAAAATCCTGAAGAATAATCTTCATTTTCAAAGCTATCCCATTATTATTCACCCTGTATCCTTTCCGCTGGCTACCTTCTGTCGTCTACACTCCTTGCCCTATTTTTACTCTTATATCTTTGATCCTAAATTGATTATAGAATTGTTGATAGAAGCGTAACAATCAAGTCAGTCTTAGTTGGACTTTTAACCAATTATATTGATTAGATCAGGTAATCATATGAAAGTATATCTAGCATACAGAGACAGCAGGTAGCTGATTAAATCTAAAGCACACTGTGTGATTTCAACAACTTTGTAGCTGGACTGCAGCTGAATAAAATAGAATTTGCGGTTTTACTTTTTGAAAACTTTCCCTTTTAAAAACATTTGGTCATTAACTGATCGATGTCAGAGGAACCCTAAAAGAGGAAACTGAGTTCTGAGACCAAGACTGAGATAAAAACTTCCTCAGCAGTCACACGCATTAAAACACACACACAGACACACACACATAAAACAGCATAACACACAATAAGTTTGTATTTATACTAGTTTTTGGCATATTTCACCTCTAATTAAACAAAAACATTTTTCTACTGTACACTTTTTCATGACATGTGTGTATACCACACATAAATATATCCTTTAAATAATGATCTGTATAAAATTATCTTTCTATTCTATTTCTCCCTTTAATTCCGGAGTATGAGGAAGTGTCCATCGATGCTTTAAATCATGTATATTCCTACATCTGTACTTCTTGACAATTTGTTCTGTTTTTCCAGACTAATTTTAACATCAAAGTGAACTCACTGCTACAAAGACACTCTCACATTCGTCACAGCAACTCACAGAGCAAATAAACCATCCCTTCCCAGCTTGCATACTCTAACAGAGATACACACACACACACACACACACTACACATGAATACTTACAGATACTGTGCAGTTGAAGCAGGCAGTTTGGCTGGTAGTTCTGGACTCCATGCCATTTTAGGACTTTGTTGGGTCACACAGTTGGCCTGGTCGCCCTCTGGGTTGCATTTCACAAACTTATACACAGCGGTTCTAGGTGCCCCTAAAGAGAGAGTTTTAATTATCAATTTGTGTTTTTTTATGCAACATTTTATGCAACAATTCACTTCAGTCAAAGTGATCTTTTTGAGTAACATCTGGTTGCTCATCTCGATCAGTCCAGTGTGACAATCAGGGTTTAGTTCCATGTTTGAAGTGTTTCAGGACATTACAACATTATTCGACAACAGAGTGAAGTGACGGTTGGCCTAACGGGCTTCAGCGTGGTTTATTTTCTTCAGTAATGTGTAAGAATAGGAAGTATCAGCATCACGGCTTCTTTTCTCAACACTTTGTAGCAAGTTGATCGTGAAGATTATCTGATGCTAAAAGCGTTAACTGTTATTTTCCACCAATATCATCAGTAAAGAAATCAGCCAACAGCAGTCAACTGTTTCATTGCTGATCATCTGATCAGAATCTTGACTGTTTGATGGCTGATGTTGAGCAATCATTTGTGGGACAAGTACTCTGCAAAAATCTATATTTCTTGTTGTTGCGCACTGTTGTGCATCATACCAATACTACTGCCAAAGGTAATCTATGACCACCATCCGTCATTGATATCTCACAGTTGTATCAATGTCATTGTCATCGGAAATGTGGCTGTTGTTGCCCTCCCGTCAGTGTATGATGACGGGCGCACTAAAGAACCGCAGCAGACACCTTGAATACAGTTTAAACAAATGTTTTGTTGAGGGTGCATCCGTTTTAACTATAACACACATTACAATATAAAATGAGTTAGTCAAAAATCCATTCATCTCATGCTGTTTTTAGATGGGTGTGTGACAAGTAGTTTGAAACTTGTGACAGTAAAATGGACAGTAAGACCGTCACTAAAAGGCAACAGTTGTCAGGATCCCTGTCAGACCAGACACCTCCCATGGCCACACAGCTGCAGCCACTCCAGCCGATTACCTCCTGCAGGCTGACACACCAGACTCAGGTCCCACTAACGCTTTCCCTGGCACTATATAAACTCTGGTCCTGCAGTCTGGGGTTGTCAGGTCGTACCGTCTATCACCCGCTTCGACCCCATTGCATCTTCTGCCTCGAGCGCCTGCCTCCGGTGTCCGGCGGTCCGGGAATCCCCTCTGCCCTCCGTGGTGTTAACGGACTACACACCATCCCTCTGCCCTCCGTGGTGTTAA